GCTACCATGCACTGTTGTGAATCAAACCAGTCACAGAATCTATAAGGGTCTTTTGAAGCAGCATCTTCAACTTTTATAATTTATCTGTTACTTGTTCTTTTAGTATTTCTTTATTTCTTCACTTTTTCCGGTGTTGCATTAGCATAAGCTAGCCTTTCTTTGCAACAACCATGCTTGCAAAAATAAAAATTCAGTTTAGTTCAGTTCAGTTTGATGATGAATGATCATCATATGCTTTATTTCTCAATGTAAAAAAGAATAGAAAAATAAAAATTTTCATTATATTGTTTGTCATTTACTTTTAAACAATCAAGATAATATTTGAAAAAGCCCATAATATGAATGTCCTTCTTTTCACACTCCCTAGAGAACGTACTTGATGCAAGTACTTGATTACTTGCTAAGTACTTGTTAATGATCAAAATACTTGCCTTATTATTAAGAAGTACTTTTCTGAAAGCACTTGGCAAGTAAGTACAAGTACTTACAAGTAAATTTACTTCTGGAAAAAAGGCAAGTATCGGCTTCATTACGCAGACGGAGTACTTAGTTCAAGTACTTGGCCCCAAGTACGTTCTCTAGGGCTAAAATCAAAAAATTCTATAAATCAATAAATTACATACAATTAGTTATCATTGATTAAAATATAATAAAGTATATTATTATATTATAATCAACAGGTTAGTATATAGATTTAGATCTTCTCTTAATTTACAGTTATGTTTTATGGCAACATATAGATATATATGATGTTATCTATAAAAACATGACTAATTTTTTTCTTATATATATGGTTAGAATCAAAGATATATAGACTTTATTACAAATCTAATGATTTTAATCTGAAAGTTGCAGAGGTGTGAGATTAAAAACATTTTGTGCAGTGAAGCCTTGCATATCTCTTCTGACTTAATGTATGATGTAAAAGTAACCGCATAAATGTTTAGCCACCCTTTTACGGTTGGTCAAAAAAAATGTCACTCAAGAAAAAGCTTTTCTTCTCGTTGATAGATAGATATCTGGAGTAAATAAAGAATTTTGTCTTCTTTCGAACAGTAATTACGTGAACACTCGTTTTTGTGGCACTTGTAGACTATACACTGTGATAATACATCTTCAAGATACAATTTACCGAATTCATTTCTTTTGATCTACATTATTCATTTTGGAACGCGTCTATGCTTTCTGGCAACCACCGACGTTCTTGTTGAACTGAACTGAAATTTATTTTACACAACGGTAGAATATCACAAAAAGCATTAAAAAGACTTGTGGCATCTGAAGGCAACCAATGATAATCTAAAGTAAAAAGTTCTCTAAATTCATAAATCGTTTGCACGCGAAATTTTGTTGTTTTAAAATAATTAATTAAAGTTTTTATAGGATTTATTTGTCAAATCACCATAGAAGTTGCATACACATTATGCGAATGATTTTCTTTCTTCATCTATCATGTTTTATAGTCTAAAAGTGCTACAAAAACGAGTGGGATATAATTATTTTTCGAAAGACCACAAAATTCTCTAAATATATCTGGACAGCTATCAACGGAAAAAAAGTTTTCTCTTGCATACCACTTTTCTCGACTGACACTAAAAGGGTGGCTAAACATTTACACGATTACTTTTTACACCATAATTTACTAGTTAGTTTAAAGAGCTTCGGTAACCAATCCAAAACAATGTGTATGTATATATTTTAGCTTATTTATCAATGCAGCTATAAATGTGTACAAATTTCAGCAAATCAAAAACAGAATTTTTTGTAAGCATCTTAACGTTGATCAAGCTTTTGATTTCATGCATGGGTAACATTAAGGAGGGAAAAACTGGATTCAAAAGACTTTTAATTCTTTTAAAATCCTCTAGAATCATTAGAATTTTTGAACACTGTTTTGACTGCTAATTAGTTTTTGAATTCTAACAGGCATTTTTGGCTTTTTGTTCTGTTGCTTTCATTATTCCCCTATATTGCAATCTATAAACAATAGCAGTAGCTAGACATCTAATTGCATAGGCTGATGGGATCGTATTTTCGATTTAGGTTTTCGTTGGTTTTCTAGGGATTCAAGATTCTCAAAAATCCAAAAAACCCTTACGAATTTTCCAGAGATTCTTGATTTTCTAGAAAATTAACGCCTAATTCAAAAATCGACTCCCATCAACCCAAGCAGTTAGGCGTCTGATTTAAAATACAACCAACCCTGAGATTTCTAGCTTCAAGTAAATGTAAAAAAAGGGTGCCACACTGGGCATGTTCGAACAAGAAACGCATTCTGAGAAAAGGCCAAAATATCCCGTGGGTGTTTTTTTGAATAACTTTTGATGGGAAGCAGCTACAGATCTCCGATTTTTTCCATGTGAAAGAAGAGACTTGTGGGCGCCCGCGCATTGCACTCAGTATCATTAGGTATTCGTGTTGTACAAAAATCACTTTCACAACATGAATGCGTCAGTTCGAAATAAAACAGTAAGTTTTTGTGCAAGGGGTCTCCAGAAAACCTCTGAAAATCCCCTCAACAATCATTCATATAGTTTCAAATCATATATATTCTGAAAGTAGACACTTCAAGCTATCTTTGTATGTGCTTAACTCAAAATTGATTATAACCTGCGCGAACGCCTATCTAATTTCTATGTCTTCACACTTTTGTATTTTTCTGCAAAAGAGACAACGAAACAATTAAATATTAGCAAAATTCTGTTAACAATACTAGCTTTGGTCTAAGAAGCATTTTTCCCGTTACCAGAAAGCGAAAAAGAGTTATTGCAACAGAAGATCAACCTTTAGAATTCGACGTGTCGGACAAAATAGAAGACCATACCAGATTGTCTTTTATTATGAGGTGTGCTATGGTTAAAGAAGTTTCTGTGTATATAAGTGTTTGAATTTAAGTATTGGTTTAATATTATGATTATACACTAGCTAATGCTACTATTTCTGTGGCACTCAGTTCGCGTCTATAAGCATATAATTCATCAATTGATCCTTGATAGCTACCGCCTATTTGCATAGTTTGGACATTGTAGTTAAAATAGTATCCACTAATGCCCGTTATTGCACCTGGTGATGCACCATTAACATATAAAATAAAACCATTTGTTGTGCTAAAAGTGCAGGCCACATGCACCCAAGTATTCACTACTACAAAAGCACCATATATATATTGCCAACCGTATGTAGGAGATCCTTCTAGAAGTTGGGCAGCAACTTGACCATTGGAAGTTAAGCCAAGCATCTGGTATCCTTGTGTACTATACCATAAAGTACCGCCACTTTACGATATTCAACTACTCTGTAGACAGTTCTCTCATAGCTTTATCAAGCATTAGTGTCATCCCCACGTAATAAACGGGCAGACGCTTTATAGATGACGGGTACAGCCACATGGCAAATGTAAACGGTCTAGCAGACCACCAACCAACCCCGGTAAAACAGCATATTTGCATATAACTTGAAGTACTTGTAAAGCGAACGGCTTGCCCCACCTTTCCACTGGAAGATGATAAAATGTTCGTAACTGTTGCATTTAAACGATTTTGACCATTATCATAGTAGGGATTTGGCTGATCGAATGAGAAGTAGAATACTAGCGTTGCGTCAGTTAATATTTCTGTTGAACTTTTAGCACGTGTTGTCAATGCTGCATTATCTATGATACCGTAGTAATAAGTCGATACTAAAATTGGTAAAGAACCAAAATACATAGATCCATTCGTTCCAAGATAAGGCGTCGTCACACTATAACGGATTGCATCTTGAACACCCTCGAGGTAAATAATTTGTTGAAACGTGTCGTAGTTATAGACAAAGGCCACATGGTACCATATGCCCGTAGTCAAGCTTGTTGTCCCCGATAAATCATTGAAATTAAAGCCCATATACAATTTACTACTTCGAACAAGAAAATATAAACACTGACTTGTACAAGTTGTGCATGTACATTGACTAAATATAGGTTGATCAGTCGTTAAACTGTAAAAATAAATCCATGCTTCAAATGTGAAACTTCGAGAGTTTAAATTGAAATAGGATGAGGCTGGCACTTGCATATAATTGTTTGTATTAGGTATGTAGAAATATGTGCCACCATAGAATCCTTGTGTGTTGTATGAACATGACCCGCAGTTACTTGTTCCATTATAAACACCATATAAGTCATTGCCATTGCCTTCGAAATTCCAATAAGCAAGAATTACAGCATTGGTTGTTGTATTTGTTGTCGCCGCTGACGATTCTACAGTTTCAAAAAAGATAATATGGTAGATAATTTCTTTCAAAGTTAGATTCTTACTTTTACTGAAGGTGATTGCTATTGGTATAATAATGGCTGCAATAGCTCCCGCGCTTGTTGTAATTCCGCAGACAATTAAAACCTTGTTTGTCATCCATTTCGGACGCGTAAAGTTAAACCTGATAAATTGAGAAATGAAACGTGAGACAGATATGAGAAACATAACCTATCTCCCTTCATATTCACCGTTGTTTACTCTTTACTGTTCGAATCTTGTCTGATTTGAATGACATATGTCTTGTAGTAATAGGAGATACGCTTCCCTAAATAATAACATACAGAAAATACGAGCACATAAGTCTAATATTTTTTTATTAAAAGCCTTAACCTAACTGTCACTATGGGCTAACCGTATGTGGTTATCAACTCAATCTCAACTTACTAGCAAAATGCAAAAACATTATACCATGGTTTCATTTCCTTTTGGTGAACTCAGTATCAACTCTCAAACAAAACCATGGACGCCACAGTACATTAGAAGAGGAGACAATTTGCGAGTTGTACTAATGAAGAAAATATTTTTACCGAGGTTATTACACTCGGAGGGACTGTGCGGTCTCAGAGCCATTACACTGAAATGGGAAACCTTTAGAAGAAAAACTGCTGTTAACAGACGCTTTTTAACCAGTGCACTCTCGAAAATTTCACGTTACTGTTTTATCATTTTTTTACTACATTTATGCAATATACCTGTTTTCTATTCAGTTTTCTTACATTTATGCTATATACCCTGTATACTCTGATGACCGCCTTCCTCTATCTCAGATCTTCAAACTGTATGTTCCAAGTGCAGTTGCGGTGCAAGTGTTATCTATCGATTTTGATATCAGTTGTAGCACCGTCATAAAGCTCTACTCAAAAATTCTTCTTCTAAGTGCATTTCTTAAAAACTGGTTCATAATCTTCAGCTTTGTCAACGTTCACAACTACTACTTAAATTCACTATACTCAATAAGACTATTTGAACTTTTCTCGTCTATGCTATCCCATAGAGAATCACTTGCAGATCTTACTTTTATCTTTTCTAAATTTATAATATTAGGAAATCGATCGTACAACTGAAACTGAACGATTTATTTATCGTTGTGCTTTTACTTCAACGTGCTAAGGACATTTTGCATCTATTTTTCTACCGCCATTATTCACTGTTATTTAAATCATCTGCCTGTCATCGTCTCTTTTCCAAGATGCAGAGAGAAAAACACACATTCTCTTTCTACTATTGGTCGTTTTCGGTCTGTAAGCACGGTAAAATGTCAAATTGTTTTCAAGCAGTTTTTGTGTCTAGTTAATATTGCCATTAAAAAACCCTTGATAGGAGATAGGTGAACAGTAGGTATACACCAGTTAAAAATGTTAGAACGTCCAGGAAAATTGCCATAATTCGGTTATGAAGAATTACTAAGAGTTATGTAACGTCTCATTTTATAGAAAAAGGTTTACTCTTTTGCTCTATAAAACTCAGTTGTCAAACAAATTTTAAACGTAATTTCCACAAAAATATTGTTAGAAGTACAATAAAAAATCAGATCACCCAAAAATACTACTCTCCGTTTCAAAATGGTTGGCACTCGGTTGCTTTTTGAATAACTTTTGATAGGAATGAGACAGAGACCTGCGATTTTCGCTGTTCAATAGCCAAGACTTGAGCAGAACTTTTCACAAGCGCAAGCAACTTTTGAAAAAATTCCAGAGACCGGGTTTCCAGAGGGTCTTTGAAAAATCGGCTTCGTTCTCAGAAAACTAAAATACAATGTTAGTAACTTTTTTGCATGCGTAGATAGTCCAGACGTTACTCTACAAAATTATGCAACTCCCGGCTCTCTAGCTATCGTCGTTCGGACAGGGCTCGCTTTCCCCGAGCACGTGTCTATCTCCGAGCAGACATCTCTGGGAATCTCAAAATGCCATGGACTATAGGTAATCGACTACGCTGAGCATAGTGGCAACATTTGTTTTTGTGTAGAAATGAATATAACTTCGTCAGAGGCATTGTTGTGAAAAACCGGTTTTTCGCCTGTTACTAGCAAAAATTAAAATCCTTAATTCTTTGATTGTTCTTTAGCATAATGAGATGGTGGATCTAATGATGCATAAACTGGAGGAGCATGTATATGACTGTAAGTTGGCATTTCCTAAAATATGTAAATGGGAAAAAAACTAGATCTAAGTGTGATAATACTAGGAGAGACAGCTAATTCCTTACAGATCTCGCTTAAAAAGGTGAGATCCTGACTTATTTGCTCCAATTCGGCTCATTAATGTTAATTAAAATTTATGTTGCCATCTGCTTAATATTTATTGGCATTGTGACAAAAATTAGAGTATTGTGACGTCATCAATACATAAATTAAATATCACTCATAACCAATGCATTTAATTTTAATCAATTCGGTATGATGGAAGTGCACGAAAATGGTTGTTGAAAATGAAACTACCGAATCTACGCGTAAAAGGTGCGAGATCCTACCTAAGTCGATCGAATGTCACGATCACATGAAACGGCTCAAAAGGTATGCTGTTGTTGTTGTTTTTTTTTGTGTAAAAATACTATATCAGTTTCGTGATATTGGTTTGCAATGAATTTTTCCAAACGCTCAATATTTATAAACGATGTGATAAAAATTTGAATATAAGGGCCCGTATATGCAAATTCAAATCACCCAGGCCAATGTTTGTAATCCTAATTCTCATGGCAACTTTCACTTCGTTGACAATCAAATTAGAGCAAAAGCATTAACATGACATAATAGATATGGCACATGGAAATATTTTATTTGTTGATAGACGTTAAAAATTTAAATTTTAGTGAACTTTGGCCTCCAAGATGGCACTGAGGTCATTAACATGGACTTGTAATTCTTCTTGTGTATCGTCATCTTTAACAAAATATGTAGGATGTTGAGCTTTTACAATAATTTTTGGAGTTGGATGAAAACGAGGATCGAGTTTTGAACGAGATTCTTGAATCCTAAGAAGAACTGGATCGCCGATGTCATAGTGAGGATCTTGACGATTTTGATCATATTTTACTTTTGATAAACGTTGCTGTTTGAAAATATTTTCAGTTGCATATTTATGATAGATTTTGAGAGATTTATTTAATTGAGCAAAATAATCATTGGGTTTGGAGAAAGTCAATTCCGGTCGAGGAAAATCTGTCGGTAATCGAGGCTTTCGTCCGAACTGAAGCTCAAATGGAGAAAATTTTGTGGTTGAATGAGTGCCGGTATTGTAAGCAAATACAACGGCATCTACGTACTCATCCCAATTATTATGTTGCATATCTTGAAGTTTTGCTATTTGTGGGATAAATGTTGCGTTAAATCTTTCAATAACTCCATTAGACTGTGGATGATATGGAGTCGAAAATATATGATTTATTCCAATTTTATATTCTAAAGATTGCAAAAGTTGATTTCGAAAATGGGTACCGTTATCAGAAAGAATAGATACTGGGATTCCATATCGGCAGATGTAATGTTTAAAAAGGGCTTCTGCGGTCACTTGCGCCGTACAGCTCGGGAGAGCTACGGCTGTGACCCAACGTGTGAACATATCAGTAATGGCAAAAACGTAGCGATTTTCTGATGGAGTACGAGGAAGGGGTCCAACGTAATCGATCGCAATCATCTGGAATGGACCATCTGGTGACGTGATTGGATGCAAAAGTCCTGGTTTTTTCTGTCGACTGATATTGAACTGCTGACATTTGGGACAAGATTTAATGTATTTTTCAATTGACGATTTCATATTCGGCCACCAATACTGGTGTTTTAATTTAAGATATGTACGATGAAAACCAAAATGACTACTAATAGGATCATCGTGGGCAGCTCTCAACAAATCTTTAATCATATATATTGGAATGTACGGTAATTGTTTTTTACGTTGAGAATGCGAGAATTGAACTAATTTATACAAAATTCCATTTTTTAAAACAAAATTAATTTTAGTGGACTTATTTTTATTTAACTGTTCGATTATTTTTTGAATATTTGGATCTTTATCTTGTTCATTTTTAAGTTTGCGAATATCAAAATTATTGCAACCGAATGGAACGAAATCAATATTATTTTTATCTGTCGAAATTTTATCGGATGAGTCGTTTGAATCTATAAGATTTTCATCTAAGTCTGTGTCAATCGTAGTTGTATTTGATATTTGTTGCTGTTGCTGTCGTTTAGACTGTAATCTTATTGTCACTGCGGTCACTAAAACCTTCGAGAGCTGTGACCTATCCTTAAGTTCTTGAGACGTAACTTCCAATCCATAATTTGGATCAATCATATCTGGATCATTAAATTCAAGTGGATGGCGTGACATATAATCTGGCAGACAATTAAATTTTCCTTTTATGTGAATGACAGCAATTATATTGTATTCTTGTAAAAGAATAGATATACGATTTGCCAGTGTATTGCGCAGAGATTTTTGATGCATTCCACATAAAGGACAGTGATCCATATATATGATGATCTCACGTCCAAGCAAGAATTGTCTCATTCTATTGAATGATAAGGCTATAGCCAATGCTTCTTTTGCGCCGGTATCATATCGCTGTTGAGTTTGATTAATCAATTGACTGTCATAATATAAATTGTACATCTGACCATTTATCTCCTGTTGAAGGACACCACTAATTCCATTTTTCGCTGCATCTGTCGACAAAATGACAGGATGTTTGTCCACTGGAAAATGAAGAAATAGTGGGGCTTCGGTTAATAATTTCTTAAGTTCATGAAACGCAGTCGATTGAGCAGTGGTCCATTGAAACTTATGCCGCATATTTTTAGATAAATTGGTAACTGCATGAATAGGAGCTGCTGTAGTCGCGAAACGTGGGATGAATTTACGATACCAAGAGAGAGCGCCAATAAAACAGTTGGCTTCTCTTAGAGTCTTCGGTTCTTTTAATAACAAAATTGCGGAAATCTTTTCCGGTAATGGTGAAATTCCATACTGATTGACCCGATGACCAAGGTAATCGATTTCAGTTTTAGCTATCGCGCATTTTGATGGATTGAGTTGAAAATTGGCTTGGTGCAGACGCGAAAGAACTTGATCTAGATGTCTAGATGTTGAACGTGTTCGTCGAATGATTTAGAAAAAATTATAATATCGTCGAGATATACTAGACAAAATTTTCTGCACGATTCTAATGACTTCGACAAAATTCTTTGAAATGTTGGAGGAGAGTTTTTGAGACCTTGAGCCAAAACGTTCCATTCATATAGACCGAATGGAGTTTTAAACGCTGTTTTATGTCGATCTTTCTCATCTATTGGTAGTTGCCAGAATCCGGATTTTAAATCGAGTTTGGAAAAATAACAATATCCGCCTCCTACTTCCTGAAGTGTTTCTTCCATATTCGGAAGAGGAAACTCATCTTTAATTGTGATAGTATTAAGCTTTTTATAATCAACTACTAAACGGTAACTCTTATCTTTTTTATCAATAAGAATTGCAGGTGCCGAATACGGTGAATGTGATTCACGAAGATGACCGGAATCGATTAAAGAAGAAATAATATTGTATAGTGCTTCTTTCTTGTTATGTGATAAAGGATATGGTTTAGAACAAGGCGGTGGATGGTCGATTGTATTAATAGCATGTGAAATACTAGTATTTGCGACTGTTGGTTTCGATGTATCAAAACTTTTTTCATAACGAAGAAAAAATTCGTTTAATTTATCATTTTGTGAATCGTCGTTGAGGTGATTTAAAAGATTATCGATGTTAATCCATGCAGTGGATTTATCAGAAACATTGCTTATTTCCACTGTCGAAGCACAAGAAGACGTAGATGAAGTTGGTAATCGAACAACGCCGGCAATTAAGCCTTTTGGTAAATACTGTGGAAACGAAGAAGGATTTTGAATCAAAATTGAAGTATGATAACGTTCTATTTTAAGTATATTATTACATAATACGATTGGACTTCGCTGCTTTAAAGTAAAAGAAGGGTAGAAAATCGCCGAAGCTTTTGAAATATCGGTGAATACTGGAACCGATTGATTTTCATATGACGGTATAACGACAGAATTTATTAGACGAACTGCAAATCGAATTGAATCTGAATTTCTGATAATATTAGTAGTGGTCTCGTTTTTTCCATTAGTAATAGTGACAATTTGTGATCCAGCGTCTATTTTCAATTTATATTTATTAATATAATCAACTCCTAATAAACATGACGTGCAAAGATCTTTTACAACGTATGCAGAGATACTTGTAACAGTTGATTTAATTTTAATTTGAAGTTGTACGACGCCAACGACTTGAAGTGGTGTTTGTCCGTCCGCTTGCCAAAGATTCCATGGATGTTTGCTAAGAAATTTTTTATGATGTGTATGTTGCAGTGGAAATCAAAATCTAGGGCGATTTAAAATTCCCCTAGGGGAAATCAAAATTTTGAGTTGCACTAGGAGAAATCAAAATTTCGAGTTCTCCTGAAAGAATGCCAGTTGAAATCAAAA